CAGGGTCCCAGGATGTTTGGTCCTTGGATGGTCATGTACATCCTCCTTATTCTTACTTAAATGAAATTCTCTTCCAATTCACAGATTTTGTTTTATTTAGAGCCAAGGTAATGAACAGCTTCCTGATTTTTTTTTCTAGTCCTGCTGGTTTAATTGATTTGGCTTCTCTGATCTTAAGAATAAAGTTCCACACTTTCAACTGAGAAGATACATCAATGCTAGCACAGTTAATATGGAGAGTGTGACTTTGTCTTAGAGTATACCATATCCTATATATTAAAGATAGCATGAAAACACACATGCACACCTACTGGGTAGCTGGGTACATAAACAAATGTACTTCAATCTTCTGAAAGTTATCTATAAACTTTTTCAAAATCTCTAAGAATGACCCACATTTCTAGCTAATCTACTCCAAAACTTAATACTGCTGCTTAGCTAAACTGTCATGGTGCCAAGCTGCCTTCTAAATATTTATGTTTATAACCACAGACACATGCTACTCCCAGTTTTAATCAAGGAAACCTCGTTTTGCAATGAATAGTGGTGAAGAAATGTTATAGCTGTTCAAGGTGCTGAGCATAAGTGAAAATTGAGTGCTCCACCCTAACCAGGACCTCCTGCAAGGCTTGAGGAACATCATGGAAGATGGGGTAGAAAGAATGTAAGCCCAAAGATAGGGAGAAGGGATGTGAACTACTGTCTTCTGGTCCTGTCATCAGTCGATCATGAATTAAGAGGGAATTTACATGCCCCTACCTTATGAATTGATGGCTATTGATGGATTATGGGGCTGGCTAGTCATTGTCTTCAACTGTGTACACAATGAAAAGTCCATCAGGATCCAGCAGATAGTTCCAAACTCATGGTCATACAGATGACTGTGTCTAAAGTCAGTGGGTCTCAAAAAACAACTACCAAAAAAGTCATGAATGTGATAAGGGGATTTGTAGGTAGGAGGCGTTGATAGGGATGGAAGGGAGATCAGGTCTTTATACTAATCAGAATGCAATTTATGCATGAATGGAATTGTTAGAGGACAAACTCAACAACAGTTCATCAAAACAAACAACAAAAGATTAAAATCTAGACTGACGAGACCCCAGTGAATGAGCTTTCACTGAGGGACATCTGGGGACACTAAATTTGACTTGATAGGCCTTAACACAAATGACAGAATGCATGAAGTCCAGTGGGGGCACCTATGGGAGGGTATGGATGGGGGATGGGATATAAAGATGATTGAGATGTGAATGAAATACACAAAAATTCAATAAAAATATACAACTTTTTAAAAAAAGATTAAAATTCAATAATGGGTGAAAGCAGGAAGACGTCATGCTAGTGAAAAGGCGAAGAACCATAGCCTGGGACCAGAACAACTGATTCACCATGGGGTCACACTCTAGTTGTAGATAAGTGTTTAAGCATAACCAACTAGATTCAGGGTGGTCTTAGAGCCCCCAGAGAGTATGAATATCCCAGAGAGTATGAATGTCAGTGTCTATAAGACTGCTTAGGACAAAGGCCTAAGCCATCTCAAGCCATCTCTCGAGCCTCTCACCATCTCATGTCTTATACATAGTTTGTTCACTTGTGTTAGCTACAATGTGTGACAGGTGTTCATAAATAGTGAAACCAGTGACATCAGGCTGTGATGAACTTCTGTTTCAGTGTACATATTTGTTTATTTTCATTTTTTATGTGTATGAGTGTTTTGCTTGCATGTACATAAGTGCACCCACGTGTTCAATACTCACAGAGGCCAGAAGAGAGTACTGGAGTTCCTGGAACTAGAGTTGTTAGCAGACATGTGGTTGTTGTGAACTGAACTTGGGTCTCTTGCAAGAGCAATCAGTGTTCTTAACTGCTGAGCCATCTCTCCAGCCCCTCAGCACATTGTTAATCAGCCCTTTAATAGGTTTACATTTCCATAAAATTTTACTTAGAGAACTGATATTTTTTTATTCCCCTTAACTTTAATCATCAATTTAAATGAAAGACTAATCTAATGTTAATATTTGTTAATTCATTATTATTACTAGGCTTCCTGTGACCTAGTCAATCAAGGTTTCGGCCCTGTAGTTCATCAGAAAGAGCAAACTCTGAAATGTGCTATGACTGTCACCTGGTCCAATTTTTCTATCAACTGGCCTGAGTTTCACTATCTCATGTCTTTTTTAATTATTTTTTAGTTTATGTGTATGTGTGTATTGCTTACATGTAGGTAAGTGCACCCATGTCATGCAATGCCCGTGGATGACAGAAGAGGCCATAGGATCCCCTGGAGCTGGAGGTACGGACTGTTGTTAGCTGCCATGTGGGTGCTGGGATTCGAACCTGGGTCTTCTGCAAGAACAACCAGTGTTCTTAACTGCTGAGCCATCTCTCGATCCTCTCACCATCTCATGTCTTATACATAGTTTGTTCACTTGTGTTAGCTACAATGTGTGACAGGTGTTCATAAATAGTGAAATATTAAGGATTCTGTTGTAAAGTGAAATTGCAATGAGATAGTTTGTTTCCAACATCTCTCTCTCTTGTAATCTTGATTCCTTTTATTTAAACTGTGCCCAAATGGGAAAATTAATGGTTAATACTAAATTAAAAGTGGATCTGTATAGAGCCAGTGATATAGCTCAGCAGTTAAGAGCATTTGTTGCTCTTCCAGAATACTCAAGTCTGGGTCAGGTGGCTGCTTATGACTGCCTCTAACTCCAGTTCCCTGGGATCCAACAACCTCTTCTGGCTTCTGCAGGCACTCACACACACATGGAATACACTCACACAGACACACATACACATAAATAAAATAAATCGTAAAAAAAAAAACTGGATGTGTGGTGTCCAGCTGAAGATTGCTGACACACTGATTATCCTGGGTGTACAACGTGGAGAAACAATTGACATGCATATTTCACGACTGGCAGTGTGAAAATGGGAATTTCTGTCAGGTTTAGGACACAGAGATGTTTCCTAGCTGGAAATACTAGCTTCCTATTCCAATTCCAATTCCAAATCTATTCTTACTGAAGCTTTTAAAAATCATTATTCCAGAAAAGTGCTATTAGAGCCTTATATTAGATATTTAGCATTTCTGTTTGGTTTGGAATCAATGAAAAGGAGAGCTTTGCTTTAGATTTGATACAGAATTTGGTACCCTATGCGTGGCATGGCCCTGACATTCAGGAGGATCAGCCTGGCTTTGTCTGAGCCAACCAAGGCCAGTGTCACTCTGCTCCAGCGAACACAGCTTGAGGCTCTCAAGAATGAGAAGTCAGGTCAATAAGATAGGAGGAGGAGTTTTCCTAGGGATTCTGGGAGGGTGCTGCTTTTAAAAAGACATTGCTACATAACAAGCAACAATGCCCAATAGGAGATACTTTCTTTTGAGTTGTTGGCCAGGGTGGCCAAAGGGACTCCCAGGTAGTAACCCAGCATAGAACTGGGAAAATGAACAGCAGACCCTAATCTTATCTAAAGGAATATTGACAACTGATTGCTGCTAGATGAAGAACAGCTGACCCTCCTAAAACAAAGACCTCTAGATAGGCTGACTAGATTCACCAGAAGGGCAAGTAGAAGGGAATGGCTGGGGTCCCGACAACACAGCAGAGAGTAGCAGGGATATCAGAGTATAAGGGCTCTAGTAGGGGGAGGGAGGCTATAGAAGAGTGCCATCTGGGAAGTGGGTGTATAGTTGAATAAGGTGGTTTGAGATGTTCTGTGTGATATACACACACAAAAAAATCAACAAATTAAAAAAAGAGCTATATTTAAGGAGGAAGCATAAAAATTTACATCATGTTAATTAGTAGAGGTGATAAACATAATGATTGAAATCTACCCGATGACTTTATAACCATACACATGTGCCAAGGATCTGAGCGCAACCAACTATGACTAGTAATAATCAGATACATGCAGATTAGAGATGCA